ATCTATATCATCTCTTGTGAGAGGTTTAGCAGTGAGATAGGTTCTTCCTGCCTCTTCCCAGAATCTAATTGTCTGTGCCAGGAAGTCTCCATCCATGTTTAAGTGTAAACAAAGGGAGCGACTACCTGTGGCTGCCCACAGGTGCATGTATATATTTATAATTGTTACTTCCTGAATTAACCCTTTACAGTGACCTTCCTTGTTTCTCGCTGCTGCTTTAGGTTTTCAGTGTCCTTTATGCATTGCAAGCATGGGTTACCGTTACTTTCATCTGGGTTGTGTTTGCATGACGCATCTTATTCCATCTCTTCTCTTCCAGCCTGTGTGTTTCTTTCTAGGTGAAGTGAGTTTCTATCAGCAGCATGGAATTAGGTCTTTTTACTCCATCAAACCATTGTAGGTCTTTTAGTCGGAGCATTTATTCCATCTACATTTAGGGTAACTATTGACAGATAAAGTCTTACTACCTGGTGGTTACTTTGTACTTTGTAGGTCAGGTTCACTATAAGGTCTTACTACCTGGTGGTTACTTTGTACGTCAGGTTCGCTTTGTGGATACGCAGGTTGTCTGTGAGTAGAAGCTGTTTTAGCCGCTTTTCCTTTTCTCGCCTCATGGCTCTGGTGAAGACTTCCACTGTAGTACTGAACAGAATGAGCACATTTCTAATTCCGGCCTTTCCTATTCTGACGTGAGTTATTTTTTGCTCATCTCGCTGCTTAGGGATGTCCTTTGGCCATTCCACCAGAAGTAAATCTTTCTCCCTTTATGCTCCATCTCAGCACCAGAATCACCACCTTTATTTCATTTATCAGAAATTATATTTGTTTGCTCCTTTGGTGTCTGTCTCTTTGCTAGTTGTAAACCTCTCATGGGAGAAATCTGCCTGTCTTCACCATTTCATCCAGTATGTGCAATGTAGTGGCTCTTAGTAAACGCTCAGATGTTTCGTAGAATCAGGCAAAAATATAGAGTTTTAGCAGTTTTGCAATCTATTATCCATCACACTTTTAATCAAATTGTTCAGGAGGTTAAATTTCAAAATTTTTCATAGAAACCACCCATGTCTGATATTTTCAAATCTCTCTCTATTTTTAAAGATTTATTTATTTATTTGAAAAGCAGAGCTACAGAGAGGCAGAGACGGGTCTTCCATCTGCTGGTTCACTCCCCAGATGGCCGCAATGGCAGGAGCTGAGCTGATCTGAAACCAGGAGCCAGGAGCTTCTTTCGGGTCTCCCACATGGGTGCAGGGGCCCAAGGACTTGGACCGTCTTCTCCTGCTTTCCCAGGACTTAGCAGAGAGCTGGATCAGAAGTGGAGCAGCTGGGTCTCGAACTGGCACCCATATGGGATGCTGGCACTGCAGGTGGTGGCTTTACCCGCTATACCACAGTGCCAGCCCTCCATTTTCAAATCTCTTGACTCATTGATATTTTATCAGAAGCGTTACAAGTCTGTCTTCTACTTTTTTTGCAAAATGAGTGTTGTATGCACTAAAAAGTTAATCAGTATGCAGGAAGGGTGCAGCAGTTCAGATAGTGAAACAAGGCAAACACACTCCACAGTTATCTGGTGAGCAGGTGTTGGGTCAGCCCCTTTGGTTCTTTAAGATCTGGAGAAATCACAGTGATGAGAGGAGCCTATCAGGCAAACCATTTCCTTATTTCTGTCCTTTAGTTTTTGGCTTTCTTCTGAATGATGCTTCATTTGCTTTTTATGTAATTGAAGACTGGTGGAGGTGAACTGCTTTTAGCACGGAACACAGTGATGTAGGGTTTATCCAAAAGGTAAAACATCTTTCTTCTGATTGCTGCATTTCAGCAGCTGCTACAGAGTCAATCTTCACTTTTGTCTTGGCCCCGGGGGAAGACCCTGTTCTGCTTTTCCCATTCCATGGTTAAAAACAACAACAACAAAGCAAAAAACAACCCCTTGGCCTATTCTACAGATTGAAACTTACATGAACAAAGGAGGTAAAAGCATTCTAGGTTGGAAGTTCAGTTGTCTACGTCTGTCCTCCCTCACCACTCTCTCTCCCCCTCACCCCCTCCCCTCTCCCTCCCTCCCCACTTCCCAGCTGTTCTTGTTGCTACCAGGGTGGCAGAAGAGAATCCTTCTGTGTCCTGCCATTTGCAGCTTGATGGAGTAGACAGGAAAGAAGTGGACATCTGCATATGATAATTTGCGGGTGTGTGTGTGTGTGTGTGTGTGAGAGAGAGAGAGAGAGAGAGGAGCCTGGATGCCCAGGACTGGGAGTGAATAGGGTATGTGTGTGTGTGTGTGTGTGTGTGAGAGAGAGAGAGAGAGAGAGAGAGGAGCCTGAGTGCCCAGGACTGGGAGTGAATAGGGTGTGTGTGTGTGTGTGTGTGTGTGTGTGTGAGAGAGAGAGAGAGAGAGAGAGAGAGAGAGGAGCCTGGATGCCCAGGACTGGAAGTGAATGGGGCTCCTGGAAGGCTTTGAGGAGGTGCTTGACTGAGCACTCAGAATCCAGCAGGTCCAGGAAGCAGGAGAGCGAGCGCGGTGACGGAGAGGCCTGACTCCTGGAGTCTGGCCTTGGTGAAGTGAGCTCAGGAACACTGCTGGGGGCCCAGGGAGGGGCTGTGGCGCAGAGAGAGGTTCAGCCACTTCCAGGAGCAGTCAAGGTCGTGAAACCGCAAACGCGGTGCTACATCATTTTCTCGTCTAGATGCTTCACGAACATCAAATACCGGAGTCCAGTTCCTCACTTTGGTTTCTCTTCCAAAAATAGAAAAAGAAATACAAGAAGCAAAACCAGGCTGATTGAAAAAAGGTGAAGCGGCGTGCAGTCCCAGCGGGGGTTTCTGCGGTTCTCTCCTGGTGGTGGTTGGACAGTGGACGGCGTTCAGAGAAGGTCACAGGAGGGGCTTGAACTAGTCTGCCGCCTGACTCGGCCTCGCGGCCTTTGTTGTTTTTAATGAAACCTTCCACCCTATAAGAACAAAATACAGATTGTTTTTCAAGTGTCATGGAGACTTCACCTAGATTGACAGCATTTGGAGCCAGAATCGAGTTACAGTACACTTAAGAGCTTTGAATCAGCCGGCGCTGCGGCTCACTAGGCTAATCCTCCACCTGCGGCGCCGGCACACCAGGTTCTAGTCCCGGTCGGGGCCCCGGATTCTGTACTGGTTGCTCCTCTTCCAGTCCAGCTCTCTGCTGTGGCCCGGGAGTGCAGTGGAGGATGGCCCAAGTGCTTGGACCCTGCATCTGCATGGGAGACCAGAGGAAGCACCTGGCTCCTGGCTTTGGATCGGTGCAGCGCTGGCCATTGTGGCCACTTGGGGGGTGAACCAACAGCAAAAGGAAGATCTTTCTCTCTGTCTCTCTCTCTCACTGTCTAACTTTGCCTGTCAGAAAAAAAAAAAAGAGCTAGCCGGCGCCGTGGCTCAATAGGCTAATCCTCCACCTTGCGGCGCCGGCACACCGGGTTCTAGTCCCGGTCGGGGCACCGGATTCTGTCCCGGTTGCCCCTCTTCCAGGCCAGCTCTCTGCTATGGCCAGGGAGTGCAGTGGAGGATGGCCCAAGTGCTTGGGCCCTGCACCCCATGGGAGACCAGGAAAAGCACCTGGATCCTGGCTCCTGCCATCGGATCAGCACGGTGCGCCGGCTGCAGCGGCGGCCATTGGAGGGTGAACCAACGGCAAAGGAAGACCTTTCTCTCTCTGTCTCTCTCTCACTGTCCACTCTGCCTGTAAAAAAAAAAAAAAAAAAAAAAGAGCTTTGAACCATCATGAATGGGTTCAGATTTAAACAGATATGTCTCAGGAAACAAAGTAAATAAATCTGAAGCTAATGCTAGACATTTGGAAATTACACACTTCTGAATGATTCACGAATCAAAGCAGTGACGTGATCCCCTTACTTATCATCATCATCATAATACCCGTATGCAAACAGAGCCCGTTCCCTCCTGCTCCCTTCATGCCTTGATGTCCCTGCAGTTTCTTGGTCAGGGCACCTGGGCTGCCTCCGCCCCTGCCCCTGCCCCTGCACAGGCTCCTCCTGGAGGCTGGCCTTGCCTACCTAACCGAGCAGGCTTTATCACCTGCTGGCTGGAATGATCACGCGTTTCCCATCTTCAAAGGTCATGTGCTTGGAACTGTGGAGGGGGAATTTAGAGGAGGACTTTATGGAGCAGCAACAGACACAGTCCAGTTGCACGGTTCGTGTGCTAATGTTACTCGCTTCCTTCTCCCAGTCCCTGGGGAAGGGACTCCCCCCTCCTCCCCATGTCTTTAGAATCTTGGGGAGTCTTTTTTTTTTTTTTTCAGTTCCCTTCTGTGACTTCTGTTTGCACTAACAATCTCTGAATTGCCTTGACTTTGTGGAGTTTTATCATCTCCGTGTGCGTACCCCTAACCACAGCCCAGAGGCAGCTCCTTCTGTTCATGGGCACTGGCTCCTATCAGCCCGCGCCTCCCCTGGGGGTCCGGCTAGGTGTGCTGGATTTCCAGAGCGGGCTGGGAGACATTTAGATCAGATAACTGATTGGAGTGTGGTGAATATTCTGACAGAGGCGTGTGAGCCAACAGGTGTCTGTTGACTTCTTACCGCGTCCCAGGCCTAGAGGAAGGAGCGGGAAGCAGGCTGGGAGCAGGGAACCTGCCCTGGCTGCGTGGTGCGATGTGGCTGGGTGTGAAAGTTCTCCTGTCTTATGGACAGCACAGTCCTGTTTGTGTGGGCGTGGTGTTAGCTGCACAGCGGCTGTGACCAGTGTGTGTGTGTGTGTGTGTGTGTGTCCTCGGGGATGCTAACACCACTCATCGTGCACTTTGAAGCAGTGGGAGGGAGTTGTGAGCAGAGAGCTGGGACATGGCCCTCTGTCACCTGGAGCAGTTTCTCCTAGGGCATAATCCTCCGAAGCCCTTCTTTGCCCTTATTCTAAGATAAGGGAGGAGGAGGTCCGGGCATAATCACCCCATAGGGTAGAAGCTCAATTCATCACCAGCCCTGAAACTTTCTATTCTCTCCCTTTAGGTTTCTTGCTATTTAAAGACTTTTGTTTGAATGAGATTAACGAAGCTGTACCTCAGGTGAAGTTTTATGAAGAGGTAAGAAGCAACTGTTTTATTGATGCTTTTATCTCAAAAGCAGAATGGGATCCTGTCTTTTGCAACATAATGGATGTAACTAGAAACCCTTATGCTTAGTAAAATAAGCCAGTCCACAAAAGACAAGTATCCTGTGTTTTCTCTGCTATGTGGGAATTAATACAGAATACAGAAAAGAAAAAAAAAAGGAATGAAACAGACATCTTCTGGTTTGATCACTGTTTTTAGCTCTTGTCTGTACTCCTGTGGAATTGCAGTCTTTCTACTTTGTGCGTGTTGAATATTATGAGTGATGGTACATTGAGCCTGTGATTATCGGGTAAATTGAAATTGTTTTTGCAAACATTAAGAAATGAAAGGAAGGTAGCAGGGGATCGAGGGAGGGAGAGAAGAAGAGAGGGAAACAGGGCTATCATCTTAGAATTGTTCTTATGAGATACCTGAAATCAGTTTCTCTGTATAAATTTCAAAATGGCATATTTAACCTGTGCTTTGGAAAACACTGACTGGCAACCATTGCACCAATACGGAGGGTCCTGGAGAGCAGCACACACAGGTGGCTCAGCGGGGAGGCCGACAGCACCTGTCCACAGGCAGGCCTGTCTGAAACTCACAGCTGTCAGGGCCTTGCAGCAGGGTGGGCACAAGGAGGAGCGACTGGCCTGCACTTCCAAGCAGGGAGGAGCCTTCAGGTGTGCAGTGCGGAGAGCGAGCCGGCTGGTCTGCTCCCGGCAGACACCTGCTGATTCCAAGGTGTGAGCTGGGGCCCAGCAGCCCAGGCCTGCTACCAGGTTTGGAAGAGAAACTCACAAATGTCCCCAGTCATTGGAGAAACAAACTGTGGAGACTTGGTAGGGCTCTGGGCCCTCAAAAGCTTAGCTGGTTTTCCCCAGAGAATATTTGGTGGAATCTGAGTTGGGAAGGGGGCTGCAGAAGTAGTAGACATTTCTGGAAGCACAGTGAACTCTCCCACCTAGGCTGCAGGAGATACAGGAGTGTACTGGGGACAGGAGTCCAAAAAACAGAGCAGGCAAGAGACGCAGACCGCACAGGGAGTGGCCCGTGGCTGCTGGAGCCGCTGAGGACCTGGGCTGGCTGTCGGTTCCCGGTGCCGTGGGCAGAGGAGGGGTCAGGCTCAGCCGCCAGCGGAAAGTCGCTTCTGGGAGACAGAAATGCGGAGAGCGGTTTCCGGAGCTAAGGTGAGACCAGGTGAGACTGGAGGAGCCCTGGACGTGCTTTCAGTCTCCCTATCAAGGCGCAGGCCAAGGTGCCACGCTCTACTGGGGATGGGAAGGACAGGGAGCAAAGTTGAACCGGAAGAGGGTCAGGTCTTAGGAGCAGGGTCCCAGCAGAGGCACACCCCGCCCAGCCCAGCCCAGCCCAGCGCAATCTTCTCCCCACCTGTCTTCGTTGCAGGTGGAAGAGAACAACATGTAAAGACTTTGTAGTCTTTTTGTATTTTTTTATAAAGTTTTATTTATTTGAAAGAGTTACACAGAGAGAGAAGGAGAGGCAGAGAGAGAGAGAAAGAGAGGGCTTCTACCTGCTGGTTCCCTCCTCAATTGGCCACAATGGTTGGAGCTGGGCCGATCCAAAGCCAAGAGCCAGGAGCTTCTTTTGGGACTCCCACGTGGATGCAGGGGCCCAAGCACTTGGGCCATCTTCTACTGCTTTCCCAGGCCATGGCAGAGAGCTGGATAGGAAGTGGAGCAGCCAGGACTCGAACTCATGCCCACATGAAATGCTGACACTGCAGGTGGTGGCTTTACCTGCTGAGCCACAGCGCCGGCCCCATCTGTAGTGCTAAACATAAGTCAGCCTGCTAAGAGGCAAGGTTGTGGGACTCACCAGGCAATAGAAGCAGACCCACAGGTGAATTGGATGTTTGCAGTTAGCAGCAGTTAGTTAGTATTTAAAGGTAACCACAAGTAATTTGTTTGAGAAGATAGAGGAGGGGCTGGTATTGGGGCAGAGCAGGTTAAGCCATGCCTGCAGCGCCAATGCTGGCATCCCGTGGTGGAGTGCTGATGAACCCTGGATGTTCTGCTCTGATCCAGCTCCCTGCTCATGTGCCTGGGCAGACGGTGGGAGGTGGCTCAAGCACCTGGGCCCTGCCACCCGTGTGGGAGGCCTGTGTGGAGCGCCGGGCTCCAAATGGTCTGGACTCGCCCTGGCTGTTGCAGCCATTTGAGGAATCAATCAGTGGATGGAAGATGGATCTGTCTCTGTCTTTCCTTGTCTCCCTTTTTGTCACTCTGCCTTTCAAGTAAATAGATATATCTTAAAAAGAAGGTAGAGGAAAAGATGGACACCACGGATAGAGGGATAGGTAATGCCTGCATATTTTGACTTCTGAAGGGTCAAGTGGACGCTGCGGAATAGAAAGTGCTTTGAGTTGAGAATTACATGGTCAGGTTCGTAGAGTGGTAGCAACATAATATTAACAAGAAGGCGGCTCAGTAGCTAAAGTCAAGCCGAGACACAGAGAGAGGAATAGAAAAAAGAAATAGACAAGAGCATTGAAGACAGGTTTAAGAGGCCTAACACGCAGAATTGGGGTTCCAGAAAGAGAAAGCATGGGGTGGAAGTGGCATTTAAAGAGAGAATACTAAGGGGTTTACAAAAGAGACGAAAAGCAGATTGCTGGCAGATTCAAAAGGCTCAGCACACCTTGAGCAGAAAGACCACGAAGGAGCCGTAGCTTTGCACTGCAGTCTCAGGCTGTGGGAACTTGTGGCAGAGAAAATCTTAAATTGTATTTATTTGGGAGGCAGGGAGAGAGAGTACTCCCATTCACCAATTCAGCCTCCAAATGACCAGGGTCCTGAAACCGGGAGCTCGGTCCAGGTCTTCCACGTTGAGTGGCAGGAACCTAACGACTTGAGCCATCAAACGCCGCCTCCCCGGGGACTCATTCGCAGGAAGCTGGGGTCAGGAGCAGAGCTGGAATGTGAGCCCAGGCGCGTTGATGTGGGACGTGCATGGGGCATCGTCACTGCTCCATGCTGACTGCTCAGCGAAATGCCAAATCGCAGAGAGAAGAACCTGAAAAGCAGCTGGGTTGGGGGTGGGGAAGACACATGGGCTTTAAATAAGGAGCAACAGTGTGACCAACCGTGATATCTTAAGAGGAATGATAGCAAAGACAGTGCTGAGAAAAAAAAGATATCAAACGAGAATTCTGTGTCCAGCGAAAATTCCCATCGAGCAGGAAGATGAAAACCAGAGATTTATTCAGACAAAAACGGAGGGAATTTGTCAGTAAAGGGAGCTAACGTAGGCAGAAGGGAAAGGACCCCAAGTGGAGATGCCGGAAGGAAGGGAGGACGTGCAGGGTGACTGTGCTGAAGTGTGAGTGAGTGTCGACCGTACCAAGCAGTAGCGCAAGGCTTCTGGGGTTTAAGATGTGTGTGGAGGCTACGTGCACGGGAGTAGCCCAGGAGGCAGGCAGCATCCCCGAAGCTGAGCTGTTCTCAGTCCGGGATTCTCGCGGGGTAGTAAAAGTGGGGATCGGCATTGGATTGTCAGCGGTCAAGGGTGCATATTTTGATATCTCACACCTTTCAAGGAATGCAACGTGCATAGCTAATAAGCTGAATAGAGAAAAGCAGAGTGCTATTTAATAAAGACAAAAGAGGAATAAAAGGGGGCACGAAATAGGTCAAGTTGAAAGTCGAGTAAGGTGGAGCTACAGATCTATTTGTATACACTGAGTGTAAATGGACTGAAAAATCCAAGTAAAAGACTGAATTTTTCCAGACTGGGTAAGGAACCAAAAGCTATTATATTCTGCTTAGAAGAGCTGTACTTTAAGCGGAAGTTGGAAGAGTGTAACACAGGTAGTAGCCAAAGTCAAGCTGGTGCAGCTGTGCTAATGTCAGACACACTACACGGGAATGCTGCTGTGGGACAGACTTCTGAAGGGCACAAGGGTCAGTCTATCAGAAGGTGTCACAGTCTTCTACCTGCATGTCACAAGAAAGATAACTTCAAAGTATATGCCTTTTAAAATATTCGAGCAGTAGACACACACACACACACACACACACACACCTGCCTCCCCTGGTTGCTCCCCAGCTTCCTGGAACAGCTGAGGCTGGGAGTTGGGAATTCAGTCCAGTTGGGTGCCAGGGACTCAGCTACTTCAGCTGTTACCTGCGTCCTCCCAGGATGCACTGGAAGCAGCTCTGGGTGCAGGGCTGGGACTCGAACCCTGGTACTTTGTCATGGGATGCAGGCATCCCAGCTGGTGTCTTTAACTCTTAGGCCAAATTCCTGTCACAACTTCAAATCAAAGGCAAAAATTGACAAACGGGAGGCAGCTCGACACTCCCGCTGGGAGGAACTGACCTACGACCTTCACGAGCTCATGAAACAGATAGGCTAAAAAACTAACAGTGTACGAGATCTTAATAAATTGATGAATATGCTTTATTATCCAACTGACGTACGTAGAATGGTGTGCCCCGCAAAGACAGAGATCACATTCTCTGAAGTCAAGATCGATCATACGCTGGTCTCTAGAGACAGCTTCTCAGACGCTTGTTTTCTGATCACAACAGAATGAAACTCAAATACACTCACAGGTAACTAAGACATCCTACACTGCCTGGAAATGAGTACACCTCTACACAGTTTGTAGGTGAAAGGAGAAATTGAAAGAAATTAGGAGCTAGTTTAAGATGATAAGAAATGATGTGTGCTGTTGTTATTAGCAGTAACACGGTGGATTTTTACCCGGAGGCACTTTGATCCATAGAAGCACAGCATCTTTAGGTACTGGGAACTGTGCACCTCTGCAAGCTGGATCGGTCTTCCTTTCATCTGTTTATTGAGAGGGGTGGGGGGAGCTGCTTTTACTTCTATGCATTTAGAGATGATACTCGTGCATGTTCAAGTAGGAAAGTCAAATCCTGATGAGCTCTTACCATCTCGTAGAAAAAAATGAAGTGAAATCTGGAAGGATTTTATTGGGCATGAAGTCACCTTAGGCTTTAAGT